TATGCAGTGTTATAGAAGAGTTGTAACCCTGTTAACATTAACTCATGTCTGCAGCACAGAATTAGTGAACAGCATTTCAGCTCAGAGGTTGTTACCGTCACGGCGGCCGAGCAACCTCTGCAGGAGTAATGCTGCTGTGCACAAATAAAAAAAACACATCATCCAGCAGGGAAACTGGGATGGATGAGGTCCTTACAAAAAGGAGAATTCAAATGTTAAAGTTGAAGCACTTTTTGAATCGTCTTCTAACTCCGATTGATAATGTTTTGTTTTTCTCAGGTCATGTTTATCCAAAATAAAGGTCAGGTGACAATGACCCTCGAGCTGCTGGACACCGAGGAAGCTCAGGCTGATGATCCGTTAGATGTTCAGGTAGCCATGCTAATGGATAAACATGTTTACACACAGAAGAACAATCCGTCTGAAGTTAATGATTAAACATGACTCTTGTTTCCATCAGTGCCTGTCGAGCTACATGGAGCAGTTTGTGGGGACAGAGTCCAGTTTGTGCTCTCAGGCAGAAGGTTACTTCTTCAAACCTGTGTTCCTGCCCAGGTAGGAGCTCCAGAAGAGAACAAGATGTGTTTATGCCACTGAAGAGCATTTCCCTTCTGGTTTGTTGAATAGTTACCAGTAGATAGTTTAACGAATGGCATGGGTTGTTCCTCATACTTTTCTGGGGATTAAAGCAGTTCAACATTTTTTTTAGCCAAAATGTCTGCTACATCTGACTATAAAGTCTACATCAGGATTCTCTTTAAAAATGTCTTACTTTATACATCGCTACCAGGAATCTACAGGTTTTTATCTTACAATTTGGCTGGGAAGCATCGAAACTCTCCGTTTCGTGTATTTGAATTTAAGAGTCTGATTTAGATTAAGAACCTGAAAATTAAATGTAACTAATGCAACACTGTGAAAGTTTGAGTGATTGAACAGTTGTGTGAACAATGAGCATTATACAAACCAACACTTTTTTTTTTTTTAAGTCTTCATCAATGTGTTTTGTTGGAAAGGAACCTGCGGCGTTTCCGGCGCTGGCAGGTGCGGCAGGTGGAGGCGATGCGCTGCAGGAGAGAGTGGCACCGGCAGCTGGCCGTGGAAAATGCCGGCAGTCTGGAGTGTCGGTTCAAACTCAACACTCACAAGATGGTGTTTGTCATGAACTCCGAGGACTACATGTACCGCCGCGGCGCGCTGGTAAAGGCCAGGAAGGTAGGTGCTGCTCCTCACCTCACATACCAGAGACGTCTAAATTGCACAGACATGCTGAAGACACTTTGACCTGACTCAGCTGCACAAATTGGTTCTCCTGAAAGGTCCCACCCACTTTGCTAGAAGATGTCTTTAAGTTGTCAAAATACTTCATTTGAGATTCAACTGTTGGTTTTTCCATTCTGCTGAAGTACTTCCTGCTTACATTAGTTGGTTATTATATGATTGGCCCAAGAGTTTAAGCAAAACTAGGCCTGAAATGATTTAAGCGACATAAATAACTTGCTGTCATTTGTTTAATGTAACTACATATATTCAAACAATTATTTAATGGAAAACTCCCCATTGCATCAGGCCTATATATCTTCATATTTCTGTCCTTTTATCAACTCGTCTGTCCGTCCATCCTTCCCTCTCTCCCTCCCTCCCTCGTTCGTCTTCTTGGTGATTTTGGAAGATCTCTTATTTAGAAACCTTAAAGAAGTTCCTTGATAAACTTTTTTTTACCTTTATCATCTAATGTCATTCCCTCATCAAAAACATCCCTGGTAAGAAGGTTGTTAAAGGCTAATGGAGGAGGGATGTTGTGACGACTTCCTGAAGGCGGAGTTTCAGAAAGAGCAGGAGTTTTTAAAGAAACAGAGACTCAATTTTAAGGCTTTATATGATGAAGTCCAATTTCTTCCACATCATATTTGATATATGTGGCGTGTTGTTTTTTTTTTAACAACTGAAGGCAACACTGCTACTTGATTATGCTGTAAAACACACAATATTGGCCCTTTAAAAAATGAGCAGAAGCTGTGGAGGTTTGACCTGAACACTGTGAAGGACGCTGACCGTCTTCCCGCTCTCCTACAGTCACAGCACCAAGTCGCAGCGTGCCAACACGAACGCTTCGACAAGTGGCACCAAAGCTGGCTGGCCAATCACGTCCCGGCCTCGGCCGAGCGCTCGGTGCAGAACTGGCTAATGGGCGAGGAGGAGGAGGACTTCATACCCTGCAAGACCACCTGCCTGTCCACCGAGCTGAAAGGACAGGCGGTCAACAGATACCAGGTTCATTACAGCAGTAGCAAAGCCCCGTCCTCGCCGTGAAGATCGGCAGGCAGCCGGCGGCGCCCTCACAGGTAAATGCATGGACTTACAGGACATCTGCACACTAAACAGACATGAACAGCTACAGTCCCATTTCTCCGCCTCCCTCCCACATGTTCACTCATGGATGAATAAAACTGGCAGAAACACTGCAAGTCGGTGAGTGAGCGTGCAGAGCGAGGGCGAGGACCAACAGACTGAAGTAATCAATGAAAGCAAACGGTTTCTGACTGATGCGATCGGTCGGACGCAACTGCACAAACAGAGCTCATCTGCAGCAGATCTATCATCCCGGCTCTAGAGTTAACAGGACTGATGGTTGATCAGCCGAGAGATCATGGAGTTTGTTTCAGAAATGTGAATGTCTTCTTCCTTTTTTTTTTTTTTTTTTAAATGTTGAGTGTAGTTTTTAGCTTCTGAAGCCAGAGAGCCTTCTGCCTGTTGGTTGATTCATGCGTGTTTATATGGAGAGATAATGGTAAATGTTTGTGTGTATGTGTATCCTGCTCTCTACATTTTGTCTGTGAGTCCAGAACAGGCTTTATAACTATAGTATCTACATTATTACTGTATGTGCATATATACAGGGATCCTGTATTTTTATATATGCATCTACACAAGTCGATACATCAGAAGATCATGTGATTCCTGAAACTATTTGTTGTCAGCCAACCTTGATGTTAGTGCTCTTTTTTTTTTCTTTTTTTTTTTTGTATTCTTCCTTTTTGTGTTGTAGCTAAATGAGTTATCACCGGGGCAACAAGGAGTGCTTAAATTTAATGGGTTTAATATTAATGAAACAGTCAAATTATGTACTATCCATGATTTCACAAAACATTTCTTTTGCATTGTTCTCTTTTGCATACTGACATTGAAAATAAAAGCAAAGTATCATCAGTGTTAAAAAGAATGTATAATGTTTATCTTGTATCAGTTATCAGATAATAAACAACCTAGTTGTGACCTTCTTAGACTTGGACTGACGGGTTGTTTGTTGCTCCAGATATTCATCAGCTTGAATGCCACGAAGAAGCTGCAGGAGTAACACGAGATACCGCAGCTGCACTCAAACGCATCATAAAGTACATTATTAACTTCACTGTACGTCATCCAAACCCAACAGATTTAAAGTCCAGTTAATGATTTTACCTTCGGTTATGCAGAAAAGTTACTTTAAAATGGTAAATTTTAGTGTTGCATTTCTAAATTTAGACACTTATTATTATTAAGATATTGAATGAAGGGTGACGGAGAACATTTTTAGCAGGAATAGTGCAAAACAAAGTGCTGAGTGTGATGCAGAGTTGTAGGACTTGGGCTCCGACTTTAAATAGAAACTGATCATGACAGGTTTTGTCATGATCCTGAAGATTAATTATGAGGAGCTGATTAAAACCAGATAATCTCTAAAGTCTGCAGAACTTTTTCAACGGCAGTAGAATAATTATTTTAGATGACCAGACTGTAACACGGCTGTTAAAAATAAATAATTTCTGAAGCAGGACAGATGTAACGGGCTGAACATGGGATCATTTCTCATGTCTGTTGCTCTTGCATTCATCTTCATGTTTTTCATTTGTTTGAAGCAGAATATTGCTGCTTCAGTAATGAATAATGTCTGGAACGTATTCTGGAGCTGCTTTGCTTCCTCTGGCACAGATAAAGCAAAGCATGTTGATGGAAAACTGGTTTCACAGAAGCACAAGGAAATTCTGGGAGAAATGTCCAGATGTCTGTGAGGAACCTGAAGCTCGGACCTTCAAACGGGAAACTGATCTAAAAACCACCAAGGTTTCAAATTACATCCTAATTGCCTGATTTTATTGTCATTTAAAAAAAAAACCATCAGTGTTATTAATTAAACAGAGGAGAATGGCTTTGCTGCCTCAGGATTTCTGCCAGAAGCTGCTATCTGACCAGGAATAATTTGTAGTGGGTCATGAAAGGAAGGAGGCAATAAGAACTAAAGATACTGGTCATGAAGGGGATGCTAAGCCCTTCCTCCTGGCTCTGATTGGTTGTCTTTGGTAGCACTGGCAGGAGGCAAATCGAACAAGGTTTTTTTTTTTTCCGCAAATTATCTAATTTTATGTCACAACATAGTGGCGGTTTTAAGAAATATGCAAACATCCTTTTATTAAACCTCAGGTTGCAACTTTAAAAGTGGCATTTTATGTTTAGCTTAGAAAAAGTAATTTTGTCAAACTTAATTTGCAGTAAATCTTGACTTTAGATGCATTTATTAAATCTACTGGAATATGAGTGGGTATTTTTAATATTGGGGGCAAAACAAACTCTAACATCAATTGGGCTCCGTCTTCTCTCCACCAAAAAGCCGTTTTCAGGCAATAAGGGGTGACTAACTTCTATAAACGCAAGGAATGAAGGAAAAAACGTCACCAATCTGTAAATCCTGCCAACCAGTCAGCTTAAAAGAGGAGGAATGCTGAAGAATTGGCTTTGAACTGGACTGAGACATACCACACAGACCTTAAAAACAAACAGCCGGCTACAAAGAGGAAACCAACACACTCTAAAGTACCTGTGAATCAGGCAAAAGGTCGGTCAGAGCTGAAGCGACGCACCGCTGAAGCGACGCACCGCTGAAGCTGAAAATGTCCCTAGGCAGAGCTTCTCATCCGATGGAGACTAAAAACAGAAGGCGAAAGAAGGGTCACGAGGCAGAGTGAGTTTTAAAAATAATCATGGTTTATAAAACCCAGATATGACAGGATCACCAAAGTGTTTACAGAAATACAAAGACCATGAGAAAAACCATCATAGAACATTGGTAAACACTCAACATGTACAAACTACTCTGTAAAAGCGACTCTGGGAGAAATGTTCAGACATTTTCTCTTAAAATCACATTTAGTTTCTTGTTTTTCTTAAAAGTTATCAAAGCAGAACATCCATCTACCAAACTACGGGTACTAGCACGTTCAAATAGTTCAGAGAAAGGGTACAAACGACATCGATCGGGGAGTGAGGGGTGCACACATTTAAGCACTTTTACACCATGAAGGTTTCAGCAAGCGGTGGGTAAGAAAAAAAGAAAAACAAAATCAGAAAACGGGATGTCAGGGTTTTTCACCATCATCTCATCAAACACGAAACTGTACAAAACAACCCTGTTTTCAGCATCTATGAACAGACACAGGTCATCTAAACCAATCTGGGATCAGTTTACCGACTTCTGCTTGGACCACCGTCTGTTCCTGGGCTGAACTGAAATGTGTCAAAGTGCTTCTGTCTGCAGGACAGTCACCAACAACAGATGTCACAAATGTTTTCATGCACTTTCACAAATGTACAAACAGCATAACAGCCTCAGGAATCTGCCCTCCCGCCCTCCCCCTGCCGTGAGGCTTTTAAATTTAAAGAAACCATCAACAAGACACAGCGAAACATCGGTTCTTCTTCTTCTTACAAACACGTTTCAACAGCTTTACACAGGTAGAGGAAAAACAAAATAAGAGTGCAGGATTGCATACAATCAACAAAAATCTCCTCTTTGCCTAAAAAATACTGCTTGTCCAGGAGCACAAATGGCTACAAATAAAAATTCATCATTGTCGGTGTGTGCAAATATTACTAATATAAACACTATGTTGAATAAATTAAGAGCTCTGTACAAAGTAAAAACAAGAGCAGCATGCAGGCAAGACGACAAAACCTTTATACAAAACTGACGAGAGAGACAATGTGAGGTGTCAGCGTGTGTGCGAATGTCTGGTGTCTGTACAGAGTATCAATGTGGACAGAGAGGTTTTCCACCCTTTAAACTTTCCAGTTCACATTAAGATCGGAAGGGAGTGCAAGCAACAAAAAGACGCGTCGTGTTTTCTAGGACAGCCAGGGCTCGTTACTAGAAGAAGGAACTCGCTTAGAGGTTCTGGAAACGTGTGTGAGCAAAGCCAGCGGAGAAATAAGAGCAGACATCAGCATATTTATCTGAAGAAACCACAACACCTGAAGTCAAACAGGCGAGGCCACACTGAAGATCAAAAACATAAATGAAGCGCAGAATAATTGAAGTCTGACAATCGGCAAATATTTCATTCACAGAAATAAAAAAAAAAATAAAAAAGCCAGATTAGCCTCTGAATTTATTCAAAAGTCAACATAAGGACTAATCTGGCAGCAGAGAGAAATCCTGGTTTCCATCAGCACCCTGGTGCTGTGAGCACAGAAATCAAAGCACGCACAAACATTTCCAGTAATGTTTCTGTTTGCAAACAGAAACCAATTCAGCAAGAAGCTCTAATTTAAACTGTTACAAAGACTTCAGTCCTAAAATTATACAACGTATTCATCTCTGGACAGTAAACCACAGCGCATGAAAATTATTTTGTTTCTGTTTTTAGCTGGTTAGCGTCGCCCTTAATGCCCGTCTCGGTAAATTAGAACATCAGTGAAACTCGTTTATTTATGACACACTGGGAAACTTTTCAAGCATTTATTTCTGTTAACTGATGATTGTGGCTTAACCAACAGTTGGTAGATGTAAAGTTAATGTTGTGGGGAAGAACAGCCATACACAAGTACATTAATGGAAAGTTGAGTGGAAAGAAAAAGTATGACTGTGTAATTAACACCACACACAGAAGGACACTGGCTAACTCTGAACACTCCTGAACAAGAGACATCGAAATCATCTTAACTTGAATAAAGAGAAAAATAAAGGACTGCTGTTCAAAGTTCAAATAAAACCAAGTGGAGCTGCACAGAACTCAACCATTTACCAGAAAACTTTAGATCAAATCATGTTTCAATCTTTCTCGAGATGCTGATTTCATTTCCACAGTGCCAAAGGTATCTAAGGTATCAATACCTACATTGATGAGCTTATCCTTATGCTCGTCAATGTAGCTTAAGCTCATTGATGAGCTTATGCTACATTGATGAGCTTCTGCTCATTGATGAGCTTCTGCTCATTGATGAGCTTAAGCTCATCAATGAGCTGGCCAATCATAACCACAACTGGCCAGCAAAACCGAACCTAATGGAGAAGCTATTTATTATCTAGTGGAAGACGAGATACCAAAGACAATACAAACAAGTTGGAGGCTCTTAATTCAACTTCCTGAAGACCTCAGCAGAACCACAGGCTGATCTCCTCCGTGCCACGCCGCACTGATGCAGTAACTCATGTGAAAAGAGACCCAGCTAAGTATTTGTAGTAAATACTGGAGATTGGCTGGTCCACTCTTCTGTTTGCTGTGGACCAAACAGAGTTTGAATCTACATCAGTTTAATGTTGTGAATTACTGAACTAAATAAACTTTCTTGTGATATTCTAATTCACCGAGATGAACCTATATAAAGACCTTTTTGTAGGATTAAATGTCCACTCGTGTTTCCAACAAGCCACAGGCTGACTACAAAATGAAGCAGAGTGCAGCAGGTAAACGAAACTCCGGCTCTGGTATCGTTCGACTCGATCAGGCAGACATGATGAACAGATTGATCCTCATTTGAATCACATTCATAAGAAAACTTTGGTAACCAGTGTTAATTGCGACCATGCACCTTAGCTGAAGTCAGTGTAAAAGAGCACTTTAAGATAACATCAGAGATTTAAAATCCTCTAATTAAGTCGGGGAGTACCTCAGGGCTTTGTGTTTCTAAGAAAAGACGTGGCACATCTAACGCTATTAAAAAAACATCAACAGTCGATTAGTATAAACATCTATAGTAGTAATACACGTATATAACAAAGAAACGTCAAAGTTAAGTGTTTGAATCGAAACATCTTTCATATTTCTCAAGGAACCTTTTTCACGTTTTATGTTGTAAACGCACTTTTCCTGCAAGTGCTTCAAGGGTTGCTATCGTTCACTACAGCTAAAGAAAAAAAAAAACAACACACAACAAAAGGAGTATAAAAAAAAATCAACAAGTTGAAACCAGTTGATTTGTTAGATATGGTGTTCAGTCCTTCCTTAGATTCCTGGGTTTAGTCTTTTATTGGCTTCGTCGTCTCCCTGTTGATCCTGGAGGTGTTAGAAAGGCGTGTGAACAGTCGTCTGCAGCGCGTCCTGAAGAGAAACTCAACAAAACCCCAAAACATCTCAACGTAAAAAAAGAAAAGCAAACAAAAGCCCCAAACATATAGTAAAGAAGTCATTGTCGATAAAAGCAGTGAATCATCCCAGGCAGTGTGGTCTGCTTTCTGCAGGTTAAGTGAAGAAGGTTTCTTTGACATCAGTGTGAATGTGGCGTCGGCTCTCTCCTCAACAGCACCGAGATGAACGAGTTGGTTGTGCTTCAGCGGGTTTCTCTCCGTGTTTGTGTGTCTCTGGATTGTACTTTGTGTTTTCTATACTTTTAAGGACCAACTCTAGACACTGAGCGATTATGAAGATGAGGTAATTTCTGTTAAGGTGAGGAGCTTTCTTATTCATTTAAGCGATTACGCTGATGTTTAAACCAACATGTTACACTATGAAGGAGGAAAAGAAAGGCGGGTCCTTATAAGTATAGCATGGTGTGTGTGTGTATGTGTTTTAGATGTTGGAGCGCACTCAGCTGAAGGCCTCGTCATCCGTATCTTCAATCAGCACCTTTGTGTCCTTCTTTGAGCTAAAGAAAAACAGAAAATCAGATACACTTATTTATTATTTATATCTTTTATGTTAATCTTTTTGCTGTTACTGAACTAATATTTACATAACGGCTTATTTCAGGTTACTTCATATACATTATTTCTTCCTCAACACTTATAAACCACTTAGGCTACGTTCACACTGCAGCCTCAAGTGACCCAATTCCGATTGTTTTGTCAAATCAGATTTTTTTGCCGTGGTTGTTCACACTTCCAAATATATGCGACCAGTATGTGGGACCTGAAAGTGTCCCGCATGCGTCAGTCGGTGGTTACTTACTGTGAGGAGGACAGCTGGGGGCGTCGCATGGACAGGCTGTGGCTCCTCTTCCAGGACTTGCCTGAGCGGTTCCTGACGCCGTCTTCCTGGTCCATCATCTGCTCCAGGACCGTCTGGTCGTCGGCGTTGAGCGGCGCCACCGAGATGTCTCGCACCGCTCGAAACTCGCCGCAGTTATTCAGATGCTCATTCTCAAGACGGAAGAAGTTCCACACGAAGCGCCTTTTGGAAAGGAAAGGAGGGGAGGACTGTTTGGAGCACAAGGAAAGTTTAGCAACGTGAGGAGGAAATGTACTTTAGACTCACCTGAAGACTTCCAGAGGAGCCAGGATGGTGGCTACGATGTTGCCCACAGAGTGAGGCTCGGTCATTGTAGAAAGCGAGATCTGGATCGTCCAGGCAAAACGCAGAAGCACGTCCTCCACGATGGCAAAGTAGTAGTAGGCCTGGACCGACAGAGAGCATGGCTCAGTGGGTGCTCCTTATGGGCGAGGCAGTCAAATTTATCTCTGTTGCACATTTCGTGTACAAGACAATTCAAAGTGCTTTACAGAAAGATCTAAATAGTAAGAGTTTAAAAACTGAGGTCATAAATACAGGGAAAAATTAAACAATTAAGGTGTTGCCTTCACTAAAGATTCATCATATTCATGTTGATAAGCAGTAAAGCTTTTTGAATTCATAAATTAAAGCCACGTCCTTCCCAGATTCCAATGAAGATGCATTTTACTCTTTTTTTTTTTTTTGGTTAAATGTCTCTTTTCTGTGGTTGTTGTGTTCACTCTGGCGTACTGTGTGGAAGAGTGGGGGTAGTAATAAGTAAAAGGTATATAGACTTGATTTTTCTTTTGCAGGGGAGCGCTGTCTCTTTAGCGAGAGATGCAGAGATCACACAGACCCAATATTTACACAGTTAAACTTACTGAGTGATAGGTTCAGAAGTTCTGGGTGTTTCTGTGTCTTACAAAGGACTCGACGTCACTGTGACTTTACCTTGTGCGGGTAAACGATTTCTTCTCTCAGGAAAGTGTTTTCTCCAGCTCCACGATCAAACAGACCCCAGTCCATAATCAGATCCCAGGTCAGAGTGTAGAGGGAGCTGATGGTGGAGAACACGATCAGAAGGTACAGAAACATGTCTGCGTCCGTGTGTCCTTGTTCTGAAATAACCACACACACACAAAAAAGTCAACTGATGTCAAATGACAAATTGACATAAAAAAAAAAAAAAATGTTTCAATGTAATGTCCACAAGGGGGAGCTCTACAGTCATGAGTTCAACAGCAGTGACGGTTATGATAGATGACCTGAAGCACATGCTTTTAACCCTTTCATCCCCCCCCCCACCCACAAGTTGGGATTTATTTTTATCATTTGCATAAAGATTCAGTTGATTTGTCTGCTTTCAATCACCAACAAATATCCATCACCAAAAATCCACAGATGCGTAGGGGAGCAAATACTCAGAATAAAAACTCAAATTAACTTAATTCCTGCATTTCCTATTTCTACTGGGGATCTTCCACATATTACCACTGCTCTAGCAAAGCGTTCTTATCGAGGCTTAGTGCAAATTTGACAATTAATTTGTGGCGTTTTACCAAATGTAAAGCGCTTTACAAAGAGCAATATTATATTTCACTGCGATTAATTGTTCACCTTCTAATTCTGTTATGTTGTGAAAAAGTAATCCTGAAATATACATATTTTTAAGAATAAATAATCAGTATGTCACTTCAGAGCCTGTCAAAATACCAAATCCTAAAACTTTCATACAAAAGTTTTATTTGTATTCATGTATTCACATATGGCCATGAACCTTAATAGGAATATCCTATTCTATTCTATTAGGATGGTTATTCCATGTCCTGACAACGAAAATGATTATGATGTCAAACTTAAAATGAGTAAATTATCAAAGATTTGACACTCTCTTATATTTTTTTTTCCATTCCCAGGTTCAATTGGCCTCTTATTCAGTTAGTTTTATCAGCAAGAACTGATATAAACTAACCTGTGAAAAAATCTAAAGGATAAATACCATCCACCTCCATCAGTTGGTGATTTTGTTTGTTATTCATAACTAACTCTGCTAAGCATCCTAAAATCAGTTGCTGAGATCACAGCTCTAGAGTATTGCCTGTCACTATAACAAATGTTGCTGGGCCAAACTTGTCCCAGAAATTATTGCAACAAATAGTAATAATGTTGTTTTGAGACCATCTTCAAGTAATAAATTGATAACGAGATAATAAGTTTGTCCTCTCAAAGACTAATACACTTTAAATTTATACAGAACAGTCCTCACTGGAACTGGAAGACATTTTAGACATCCAATAAAACACAACAACCAAAAACAATAATAATAATAAAAAAAACACTCACAACAGAAACAGTAAATAAAATAGATTATGATGTCACTGCAAACAAAACTGCTCTTCGAAAAATATTAATCAGAATGGAAATTAAGGAAACGATTCATCATGTGCAACATTTTACATTTGGGTTGTAATGGTAACAATTAGACCACTGTGGTGCCTTCGGTTTGCCTAGAGATCGTCAAATCGGTTTACAGATGTCTGCTGCGTATAATGGGAGCGTTTGTAATTAGCCGTCCTCAGCGGCACCGCCGTGCTTTACACGGACGAACTGTGGATGTGATCTGCTTGTTGCTCAGCAGGTGCTGTTATATAAATCAGCGCCCTGTGGCCTTTCACTGTGACTCACACCGGCTTCCAGACGGAGACCAGGCTCCCTCCAATTTGTCATCGTCACCGTTTTCTTCCCGCTACCAGCCAACAAGACGCCGGGGATTAGAGCGGCGACGTCTCTAACGGAGAATTACTGCAGCACCGCTCCGTTAACTGCTGCCTCCGTTGTGCCGTCTGCTGAGCAATGGGATGGAAGTAGTCCCTACGGCCACACACACGTCTCCCAGATGTAGATTAAACTTAGTCCTCCACAATAGACCCCTCAGCGGAGAATATCTACTGGTGATTTCCTCAGTGTGTTAGAGGTATTTAACCCCTCGGTGTTTGCGGAGGCCGAAGCCGTTTTTCACCGGGCCGCTCAGCCATTAGGAGGTTAAAATGGTGAGATGGACATTGATTGGATGCTCAGTTAGGGCAAACGCTGGTCACTGGTTCCTGTCACGCACATTCAGTCCACACACACTCAAACACAGAGCAGAGATTGTTCGCGGGAGCCTGGGCCGATACAGCGATTTAGCTGCAACTCATTTCATCCAGCATCCCACCGAAATAAATTCAAAACAAGAAGAGTCAGTCACTGCTGTTACAACGATATCTCATCTGTTCCCATGGGAACACGGTTCTTCAACAAGGTGCAAAAGCTCGATTTTAAAGCAGTTTGGGCTTAAAGTGGTCGGGCTAGAACAGCCGCACTGCAGTTTGAAGAGCTTCTCGTTTTGTAAATACTCTACTGAGAGTCGGCATGCAGACACTGATAATACACCTGTCCTAATCCTGTTATTTCAAGTCAAGCTATCAGGAATGGAGGGCCGTCTTGGGAACTAATGGATAATGGAAATTTTTCAGCTCCTGGCTTAAAGACTCTTCCTGCAAAGCTGCTTCGACCTTTTGTCTTTCTGAGCTGTCAGAGGTGAAATTATGGCTAATAACACAGAATCGTCCTCTGGCAAAAACATAAGGTAACCAAATTCATCTCATTTTAAAAATATTTATTCTGATTAAATTTGGAGGCTGAGTGAGGTTTTGGCTTCAGAATAAGACATTTCATATTTCCTGAATTTGTCTTTCTGATTCAGTTAATGTGCTTCGATCTGTTTCATCTAACCACACTTTATTTCCACCTTTCACAACATTTCTGATGCAGTTCGCCCGCACAAGAGAGACACTTCCGTCCGACCTTCAGCCTGAATCTGAACCCAGACATGCAATGATTGCTTTTGGCGAATCGGAGTTCAGGGAGGCAGTCAGAGACTAAACATCTTTATCAGTAAAGGTGTGAGTGCAGCAATTCCTCCGGATAGCAAACAAGAGGTCAGCAGATGAAATTAAGTTACAAAAGCTGACAGTTCTGAGATTTTTATACTCCAATCCAGCAAACCAAGCTAAGCTGTACTCTTCACAGAGAGCAGCAGGCCTGGTTTTTGGGAATATGCTGTAGATTTCCCAGACAGAGACATGTAGTCTATGAAGCCCTCAATAATTACTGGCATCCCCAGTGAAGAAGTAAACAAAAGCTTTTAAATAATGGAGACATGGTGAACCAAAGATGTTGGTCGATGCTAGTTAGCCCGCAGCAACCTTAGGAGGTTTTTTGAGCAACTAACCTGCAAACAATTTCTCATCATTACTATTCCGAAATGTTTCTCTGAAATTTAAAGCTGGGATGTTTCTAGATGCTTCAGCACAAGACTACTTATTTATCTTAAAGCATTTTAAGCATCTTCACAATTTATCTTCCAGTAATTGTGTAAAGTGCTGTGTAGGTTGCTACGTCTTATTTATGGCACCCGATCTCACCAAAAATAAAACACCCCAGAACAGTAAACTACATGCTTTCAGTGATCGTTTCTGAATAATTCCCAAACATTCAAATTAGCATTAGCTTGTAATGTCCCTGCAATGAGAAAGGTCATAAATCAGCTTGGCATAAATCTGATCCTGTATCGATCCAAATAATGTTTCTGCTTCAGTGTGAGGCCTCCAACGATGTTCAGCACGATTTGGGATGCCAGCAGAACCCAGAGGATCCAGAATCGTCATTAATGCAACAAGAACCTGCTGAGATTACAGCTTCATGATGGAGTCCAGCCAGTCACTTGTAGCAGCGAGGGACTCTCTAAAGGAAATATGCTCAGGCTTCTGGGCAGCATGTGAGTTGTTTCTGTTTCAACACAGACAGAGCATCTTGTAGTGGTATATGCATAATTAACACACCTTTCTAATTCTGCAGCTTCAGATCTGTAAACGGTGTCATTGGTCAATTAATTAAACTCCGCTCCGCAGCAGAGTGCTCCATGATTTATTGGCATCATGATGTATTTTTCTCTTCCTGCTTTCCCAGATCTAAATGTGGGCTCTGACTTACACGAATCATTGGGGGGGAGGGGTCGGTCTGACAGCGAGGAAACACGTAAACCTGCCGGCTGTGATCAGGATAGCAGCAAAGGTGACACGAGACACCGGGACATCTGCCAGATAATGACTGGCATCTGAGGCACCTCTTACAGCTGGACCCGGTGGTGAGAACATGACACTGAGAGGCCACCGGCTCTACCGGCGCTGCAGAGTGATGCAGGAGGACTTGGCGCCAGCGTAGAGGAAGCGCTGCTGGAAGAGTTTTTAGAGTATAGATGCAGAATATTTTTGATTCTGCTGCTTGAATTGATCCCTTAAACAAGCTTTAAAGTCCAGAGGAGCTGCTGCTGCACACGATTCTTAAAATATCTCAACAACAGGCGATTTCCTTAACCATCATCATCCATGTGAGATTCCAACCTCCTCCTCTACTTAACCAACGCTCGGCCTTAATCTCCATTACATGCAGGATGAAAGACAGCTTCACAGAGAATAACACATGAAGAGAGGCCATTAATGGAAGAGCGCACAGGCTTCGGACCGGAGGAGGAAGAAGGATATGGTTTAATGGACGTCTTTCCGACCGAGCAGTGGGTTTAAAAAGAGGGATTTGTCTGCCTCAGACTCTCAGCTTGGGTTCATTCAATACGACCGGCGGTCAGCATGAGAAGCAAATGTATTGATTCAAGTTTTTACCGCAAAGGAATAAAGTCAGAGCGAGACATAACATTTAGCATTTTTGAAAGGCTGCAGATTAGGTTCCACAGCTGGCATTTTGCAGAAAAATACATCTGTTTGCAGGGAAAATGCCAGAGATTAAATACGTGTCGGGTGAAATGATTGCTTTGAACGTGGCAGAGGGGACAAATTTCCAAGTCTTTGATGGAGACTGACCTAATAATTATGATTTATTTTTTTCCTCTTTTGAAAACAAGCTCCTCTGTGGCATGTCTTACCAATAAGAACAATGTCAGGCTAATTGTAAGGCTGTCAGCCAGAGAGTGACCAGACTATTAATGCAACTTCTTCTTCATGGTTTTTATGCTCCTGCCAAAAGATTTTGAAATGCAATGTTTCTCTTTTCATCTTCTTCTCTGTATTTGTTGTCCAAAGTACATCTCTGGTCTCTCTAACCTCTTGCCCTGAGAGTGAAACCACATTGTGGGAGCAGAATCTTGTTTATCCGCAGCTCGGCTTGACAAACCTCTCCTGTTGCATTATAAAGCTCTGGGCACAGAGTAGGAAACCGACGCCGGCTTCCAGCAATTGCACTCAAGGTCACCTCTGCTTCCCGAGCACACACACGCACGCACACAAAAGACTCAGAGACTTGTGTGTTGACATGCCCCTCTAACACAGCAGCACATCGGTACTGCTGATTTAAAGCTTCAGAAAGTCTTACATCTCTCTTCAGTGTGTCTGCAATGATTCAAAACAGGAATTTACAGCAAGCAACGCGTTTGGGAACCGATGTGTTATCATGTCTGCTCAGCACAAATCAAATCGAGTACGGGAAGAGATGAGTCATAAAACGGACATCTCCCTGCCTTAGTGCGTCGTCTGTCCCGAGTCTTACCCTGGTGGGTGGCATAGAGAGCTGCGAAGGTGACAACAAAGAAGGTGGTGGAGTATTTGCCGGCGTTGACCAGGTGTGGGAAGGCCCTCTTGGTGTCACGGTAACGCCTCAAGCACTGGATGAAACGAAGCCAGGCGGGCAGACACTGGATGATGGCGCGCAGGCCGTACCAGTAGCTGTGGCAGACGTGGTCACTGGAATCTAGAATACAATACAGCAAGAGGGGACAGAAACGGTCTTTGTTATGAGGGTCAGACATTGACCTGTGTGCCGCCAAACATTTACAAGCCATTAGCTCTGAGTTAACTAGCAGGACGGAAGCAGAGGGCACCAATTAGCATCATGTCTGTCATATTTTATGTCAAAAAGTCTGAACACCTTACACCCAGCTCACTCACACGTTGTCATGCGACAGTGCGCCTTTAAAAGTTAAAGCGGCGTGAATACTTTTGCAAGGCACTGAAAACGCTCAATTGTCACTTAGAAGGCTTAAAGATGAGGAGGAGCGTCTCAGGGTGAACAGTGGATTCCCATCAATGAACGGGATCACACAAAGTGACAGACAACAATTCACACTCACACTCACACCTACAGGCATCACAGTGATACGCTTCATCTAGATACAGATTTCTATTCTCTGTAGGATCAATTCTCTCACCCACTAAAAAACATGAATCCAGTTTTTCACGCAAGATCGTTTCCTCGTTTTAAGCTGAGGTTGCTTAAATGTAAAGACCATATTTTATTGTAGAAATGATGTGAGACCCTGATATATTAATTTACCCAAAGTGGGCGTTTCTGCAAATATTTCCAAGAATGACAAAAATAAACGCTGAACATCCAGAGTTTAAACTGCAGCTCTTATAAGAAGAGTTCATAAAAATTAAAGATCTGACTCACAAATTCAAGGTGAAGGACAAAAAATGTATCCATATCTAAGAACAAATGTTGAGAGGAATACACCAGTCAGTGGGCAGGTTAACCTGAATCACAGGTTAACACAGCTTTGAGAGTCACTGAAAGGTTCGAGCCAAAATTCAGCGCAGCAACCTTTTAGCTGCGGGCCAATCTGAATCAACACCTCACCTGGCGGAAACAACCCCTTGCTGTTGCTCCACTGCAGCTCAAAGATGTAGAAGCAGATGAGATACTCGAAGTCCATGAGTACAACCACCAGAGAGTTGAGCTGATCTGCCAGCCAGAAGTCTGCAAATTCCACCCGATGAAACGGTGCAGTGAAAACACGAAACTGGAGACAAACCAGAGCAGGAAAGACAGCAGGTGAGGAGAGGACATGCACAGAACTGCTGAAATGGAAAACGGTCGGTGCATTTCAGAAAAAAAACGACTTGGACGACCTTACTAAAGCGAGCTTTAGCTCGTATGTCACACTCAGCTGAAGCTGCTCCAACGGGAAGACAAAATAATTCAATAATTAGTGAGAAGTATTTCTGGAGAAACCTTAAGATGGGGGGGAAAAAAAGCTCTGAATAATTGGAGACACAAAGGAATAAATCCTCCAGACTGCCTTATCGGCCCTGCACAGGATGCTGTGGTGAGTCACGGTTTGTGTTGGTGTTCATGTTTTATTTGTGTTGCTAATCAGTGGAGTAATGTGCGGGCAGCCAGGAACTGCGTCTATGGGAATGTTATTTGGGATACGGCTTTGGCAGGAGCTGCAGCTATTGACCACGTTTGTAAAATGATACAACCCTGCTCGACTTTTTCCATTAACCCCGCAGGCCTCCTCTGACATTCAGCCGGTGACTGTACGCTGCTCCCCATTTACAGTCTGAGAGAAAAACCACACACACCCTCAGAAAAAACTGACCGTGCCAATCAAATAATGTATTGATCAGGAGGATTTTGAACGTATTTCCACTCTGCGTTGATGTCTTGAGGCTAATCCTGCTGTGCTTGTATGGTCAGGTTTTCATTTGCTGAATAAACACTACTGCATGTTACAACTGCAGCAGTTTGTTCTACTAATACATTTTATGAGTGGTTTCTATTAATAAAGAATATAGGAGCTCTTATGGCAACATACAGTCCAGTGAACTGCAGACTGAAATATCTAGTAAATCCTGTACTTCCTAAGAGATATCCTGCATTAAAATAATAAAAAATAGTCATTTTTGTTCTAAAAACCCTTCATATGGTTGTAATGGTGCCAAATTAATCAAGGCTGATTAGAGCCTCATCACTGGGGGAGGGCTGAGCGAGAGTACTGGGAACTGTGGGGCACTGAGAAGCAAGGACAAGATATGAGGAGGGGGGTGTGTATATGCGAGAAGGAGGACGAGGGACAGAGGAGCTCAGGGCATCCGCATGCTGATAGATCTATGCCTGTAATGATTGCACAGTCACAGCCTCCATCTCCCCTGAGACGAGGCCCGTTCTATTATTCCTCACCCCTTTGGCTCCGTCCTCACTCCAGTCGCCCCAAAACACACACACACACTTCTACACACACACCCCATCCTCTGTTCTGCAGCGATGTAGCACAGATCAGACAAAGAAGGGGGTTTAATAAACATGTAGCTGGAAACAGATATCTGGATTGTACCTGCATTCATTGAGAAGATAAGATAAAGACACACACGTCCCTCACACCCTGTCAGTACATGCTTCAGTTTCAGAAAATCATAACAGCAGGAAAATACACAGCTCTATCAAAAAAAAAAAAAAACACAAGCGAAGCTCAAACAAATTAGATTTTTCTTCAAATTCAAGAGATTAAATGCACTAAGATTACTAGTCCTTTAAATAACACGAGAAAGCTCAGATGATGACACAATGGGTTTAGACGCTTATAAGGTTCATTCACAAAATTTGACTTAAATGAAGCCACACCTGTGGTAATGTTTTTTAAGGCAAAGCCTTGAACACACAGCTTGTGTGACATTATGGGAAAAATAAAAAAATCTGAAATCAGACGAGATGTCAAGACGAGAATTATGGACGTTCACAAGTTTGGTTCATCCTTTACTACAACTACCAGATGCCTAAAGGTCTAAAAAAATATATAGCAACATAAAACACTATAAGACATTACAGTTTGCCAATGAAATCAGGGGCAAGGACTTTTTTTTTTTTCCAAAACATCAATTTGTCCCAAAATTCAACCAAAAGGTTCAAAAGATGAACTTGTCCATTGAAATTTGTCCGTATTTCCAGACTATTTTTTTTTTAAGTTGTAGTGCTTCCTGTCTATTTAAAGGCCTGTTTTGACTAAAAGCCCAGGAATATTTTCCATGAACATGGCAAGTGAAGTCCATGTGTTTCTGTGCAAAGATGATGAACTGCTTCCATGTTACATAACAGAGTTTCGGGTTACTTTTCTGGATGCCATGGTGCTGCTCCGGAGCCTGTGTGGCTATATTGATCCCAGTGGCACGGCGGATACTTTTGAAGCACAGCTTAGACTCTGCTCTGGCGGTTTCTGACCTTGGGCTTTATGCACTGAGATTTATTCAGACATCTTCAATCTTATTTCAGAACATCAGATGCACTGCAGAGGCTGGATGGAGTTAGGAGTGAGACTTATGTCAAAACAGCTCACTGATATAAAACAATGCAATAGAGCAGTTTTATTCTTTTTATTAACACATGTATAGGCCTGTCATAATAATCAATGAATCGCATGATAAATTAAAACAAACTCAGTCATTTCTATTGGCATAATTCATTGTGCTTTTTCTCTCCCTCTTTTTTTTTTTTTTTTTTTTTACTAAAAACTGGATGATAAAAGTCTTCAGTTTGGTGCTTTGGTCTCAACTAGCCCTTTTTTTGAAGGATAAATTTGTTTTCCAAGACTTCAAAATTAATTTTATTTGTTGTTTTTTATTTATTTATTTTGGATATTTAAAATGTCTTCCAGCTCCAATGTTAAATGTTCATTAAACTTTAAAGTTTACTGATCTTTGAGAATATGTTTTTGCATTATTATTATTATTATTATGCCATTACCATTATATTACTTAAAAAATGTCTAAAAACAACAATATTATCGTTTATCGCAATGACTTCTGGAACACTTTATCATCCAGCAAAATTTGTTGTCGTGACCAGCCTACACTATATAAAAACACTATAAAAATGTCTTTAAAAAAAGAAAATTAAAAAAGGACTCTATTTAAGATGGGGACCAACCAGCAGTTTGATGAGCCAGAAGCGGGATTTGTAGTAGCAGGTTTTAAATGGGTTGATGAGGAAGAGCACCATGAAGCCGTAAAGAATGAGAGGGTTGATCTGCATGGGGAGGTAGGTGTACTCTGAGTATAGACACGAGAGGATGCTGAGACACCATAACACACCCAGGAAACCAGCAATCTGCAGCAGAAACATAAAAAGGAAAGCGGCATTAAAGGAAAGCGCCAGTAACTTTTCACAACAATTAATAGAGGGACACAAACTGAGAAGTGTGGGTTTTATATTTCTGCAGGGTTAACTTATTTTATAACATTTATGCTCTTCAATAGGACTAAACAACATCAGTAAATCCAGGAGAATAATAAAAATGTGGCTTTTATTAATATGAAAGTAAATATAATTTTGAAGAGACGTCTGGCTGTGTTCAGTAGTTTGTGCTTCTGCCTGGGCTAACCTCAAACAGGTGCTGGTGTGACAAGTTGTCTCGCGGGTCAATCTCAAAGATGAGGACATGGTTGACTCCGTTCTGTCTCCAGCCGTAGGTGTTAATCCCCAGCAGGAAGAGGAACTGGATCAACAGGAAGCCGCCACGATAGATCCGCACCAGAGGCCAAATGTTCTCGTAGCGGATGAAAACAGCACCTAAAAGAAACCGGAGCAGAGATGAAAAATTAAACAGTGAGCTTGAAAATAATCTCCCAGACTGGCGTCTGTGGTAAAGATATGTAATAAACTTTAAAATAAATGTATGTTTTGGGCTTTTTACAGAAACAAAAACTACTTTTAATTTAAACATTTCTTAATAAATCATTTATTTTCACAAAATCACAGGTACCACACATATTTGTATCTCTTCTGAATCCTATAAAGCAAACATACAATGGTCCTTTAAAAGAACGCCCTACTAATAAAAGATCTTTGTGTCGATAAACTTTTAAATAGTTATTCATGACTCAATGTTTCATAAATGCAACGCGACATATTTTCTCTTAGGACGTGTCCTGGACGACCCGGTTGATGTGGGCCGGTTCGGTCGTGAAGACTAGAGGTGAGCAGGTGTGAAATTGGATGGTCTAGCCTTCAGATTAATTAAAAATATCAAACACATATAAGAGAACGGTACGATGATAATATATATATATATATGATTTAAAATATGACTCACCAGTGAGAATAAAAGCGACAACCAGAATGATGAAGAAACCACAGAAGAGACCCACTCTGAAGGTCGTCCAGGCCAAGGCAGGCTGAGCCGGGCAGAGAAAACACAGAGCCACTGTGTTTAATACAGTCATCTTAATTATGCACTTTAGCTTAAAAAACTAACTCACTAACTTAAAGGGGGGGAAAAAAAACAAACAAACAATATGGCTGATTTTATTCACTTCATATGTTCAATTTATTACATGCATACTTTTTATGTGTGTGGATCTCAAACAATTTCTGTTTGAAATAACAGTAAAATGGGCTTAAAAGGTCCACAAACACATGTATTATCCAAACAATAGCTTGTCTGATGAATAGCGTGAAGGGATGGTTTCCTCTCTTACTCTTTCACTTTAGCTCATAAAAACCTTTTTTCATTGTGTTGGCATTGTAGGGTTACATCGACGTATTTGCCTGTTGTCTTGGAAAATAAAACTTTGGTTTGTTTACTTGGATGAATGAGCTAATAACGAAGGTTTCTGAGCAGATGTTTTTTCTTATGGAACTGATAACGGAGGTTTCAGTGAAGATGTTTTTCTTCCTTGTCCAACCGAAACTCCTTTGAACCAATTAGCCGGAGATGGGAGAAACTGAGAGAAACTCCCTACAGAAGAGAGATGGGTGGAAGGCGCTGTGTACGTGACTGAAGAGATATATAAAAAGAATCGCATGTTTTAAGTTTCACTTCTTCTTCTTCTCTCTTGCTTTTCTTTTCTCACACGCTGATCTCTGATACTTACTCTGATTTTCTAAATAAAATATCTAAAGACAAATGTGCGTTTCTCCGATTGATTCGCTCACTCCCGAAAACGATTTCTCCTAAACACCTGTGTAACTTAAAATAAATACAGCAGAAATGTCAGAATCAAAGGTGCAGTAAACATAATAACCAGTTGTTACTGACCTGAGCTGCCCCCAGAGGAGGAACTCTCAACCTCTTCATGGCCCTCTGACGATCTCCTTCCTCCAGCTCTGTGGTGACCAGAGTCTAGCCACAGAAGGATATCATCAGCGTATAATCTTTATTTTGTATTTGCGTGTCTGTGGAGATGTGAGCAGTCACCTCTGTCTCAGTGATGAGCTGTGTAATCTTCTTGCAGGTGTAAAACGGAGCCACGTCCACATGAGCAAGACGCCATTCGACTCCACGAGTCGTGTCCAGGATCTTGTCGTGTTTTTTCAGGATTTTACGGAAACCAGTGAAGTTCAGGTTCTGAGGATAACGTAAGTCCAAAACGTTATTTAAGACAGGAGTCAGACACGCTGCTGCAGGACAAAGACGGTGAAACAAGGCTGGGCAAATCTGTTCACATAAAATCAGAGTGGAGATCATTCTGTATGTGTGTGTGTGTGTGTGTGTGTGTGTGTGTGTGTGTGTGTGTGTGTGTGTGAAGGGAACCTGGTAGTTCTGGAGCAGGATGAGGCTGAGGTAGAACTCGCTGAAGGCTAGCTTCAGGTCCATGATGTTGTGGTTCTTGGAGCGCTCCTCCTGCCTCAGGTGGAACAACGTCCTGCGTTTGCGAAGGCCGGACGGAGCGTTGCGCTCTCGCTGGGCATCCATTGATGACTGCAGCTCATTTTGCAGCGTTGCAAACCGTCTCTGAGCTTCAGCGAGCTTTTCTGCAGACAGAATGATGAGATTGTGCTGAAAACTGTAAGGTTAGTTTGCATTTCGCACAGCACAGACCAATCTTTAGAAGAAAGCTTACAGAGAGGAACAGATATATTCCAGTCTGCAGAAATCGCAGCAAGCATAGATTAGTTCATTGAGTGATTCATTTTTCTTATCAGGACGATAAAGTAATAAACTAAAACCAACAATATAGAAATGCTGAGAAATCTGGTACCGATCATTAAAAAGGAGACATTTCAGCTGTTCCAAATGCTGAGGAAAGGTTTCTTCAAAGAGCATCAAGAAGCTACAAGAATTTGCAGAGCAATGGGGAACGTGCTAATCTTAAAATTCTCTTCTCTCCCGTTACTTCCAGGAAACATAAGCACATGGGCTGAGATGGCATGTAAAAGCTGCATAGAGAGTGAGGAACCACTATGTGGGTCAAAGATAGGTTAACACTTCCTCAAAGGAGTAACATAGTTCCTTGTAGCCTGTATGACTAGAGTCAAATGTTTTGGGTATCCTTCTCCAAGCTTCTCACAGTGGTTTGATTGAATTTTGGTCAAGTCGTCCAGACAAAAACGACGTAACTGAGACATTTTGCGGTTGGAGTCATTGTTTCTTTGCATCCATGTGTGCCAAAGTTTTAACATCCTGTCTAACGCTTGATATGTTACTTCACTATTTCCAGTAAATTTTTTTGTCGTCAAACTGAGACAGAACCTGTCTGTTTCCTGAAGATGGCTGGAGATTCTCCTGGTGTTCATACTTGCATTTAAGTGGTTGAACATATTAACCTGACACTTTCAGGTGAATGAAAATGAAACCAGATTTCTCTTCCTGAAACCTTGGAAGAGTTTTGTGTTTTTTCACGTCGGTCAAGGCGATGTTTTTGAGGTGCTGTCATAAAATGCATCTACAGGTTTTGGCTCCAATTAATACTAAACCTATAGTTATGAGGATTTTCTCTTTATTTGAAGGGATCAAAATCTTAATGTATGCAATCTTTTGAATTGAAAAAGACAAGTTTGCTTTCTAAAACGGAAACACTTTGAAATTGATATGGTAATCCTAACTGACCTAAGACAGGAAGTCAGATTTAACATCAGACAGTGGTGAAAATAGGTTGTGTATGCAACCACAGACAAGTAAAAGACATATATTATGTTATGATTCATGCAGTCAGCCTGACAGTCTGGGAAATCAAGGCTACAGCGGCTTCCTACCCGTCCTTAAATTAATAAAGTCACACTGCTGAAGCTGAAGGCTCACTGGTGACTTTCACGCTTTGTTGCTTGAACTCACCCTGACACACAATCACACTACCTCCCTCTCTGGAATGCCAAGGCTCTTTATTGACAACTATATTCTCAGTAATCCTCTTGTTTGAACTGTGCAGTCCGTAATAACAATTCGTGACAACAAAAGGAGGCTTGGAGAAGCCAGTACACCCACTGCCCTCTGAAAGCAGATTTAGAGTAAACCTGGAGTCTGGAGTGAAGGAGAAAAACAGAGGACATTTATCTATGTGGCTAATGAACCTTAGACAGCAGCTGGTGGTTTAAATTTCAACCAAAGTGGGTTGAGTGAACCATTTTATTCGACCTCAGTTTGGAGACAAGGTGAATATGTATAATAATAAAACACCTGCAAATGTTGACAAAACCTAGTCCTCTTCCTGGATTGTGATATTGAACCTGCAGTCCAACAGTCAGGATTTTAGCGCAATGCAGTAGGATGGCTTTAAGAGGTCAAGGACCCCTTTCAGAGGGAGATACAGGCACACAGAGCGATGTGGAGGCAGGTTGTTCATGTAAAGTCAGCACACATTTATCTCCATCTCTCCACGGTTCAATCAACCCTGAAATCCTTTTTAAATAGCTACACATACACACAAACACACACACACACACACACACACACACACACACACACAAACAGACATCAGATAAACGCACTTGCTGGGCAAAACTATGGCCTTTCCTCTTTCCTCCTTCTGTGTTGATAGTAAACAAACTGGGTGAAATAATGTTTTCATGCTAAACATTTACCCTTGTCCGACAAACTGCTTGCTGAAGACACAGCGAATAACTCTAGTACTGATATAGCATGACCCCCCCTGCTGTTGCACTAAAATGAAGAGGATGCATTCTTTACTGCTTTTTCTTTTTAAAATCTCGAAGATATTCAACATTGCTGTGCTCCTATGAAGGTTTAACCAGCATAATACTTATGAAAAGGACCAAACTTTTGCTGTAATCATCCACAGTAGATAATGGACCTAAATAGTAAAATGTACTTTATTACAGGTCCTCTCAATTCACATAAGTTTGTAATTTATTATACTGGTAAATGGCTTACTCCACTCTGCTGGGAAAGAAAAACTTCCATTACATCAGTAACAAAGCATCTTTCTAACTGTGAGCCGAGTGACTTATACTCATTTTACTGCTTTTGCCATCAATCAGCCTGTAATGTCCCATCGTTATGAGCAGGGACAATCTTCCCAGTTAACCTTGTCCCTGCGCTGGCCCACCTCAGGACGCAGTTTCACAGATGGCCTCAGGAGGAGGCAGCGCCTGGCTTTACTACAGACACATTTCCATGAACTCAAGTTCTAGAAGTATCCGTCTGGTACCAGAATATATTATGGAGAACATCTCAGATTACACAGCACACACACGCAGTCTCACTTACTTCTTGAAATACATGCATGCTTTCTCCCGTAAGCATGACTGCTACTGACCTGTTCAGTCTAATGACTAAGGCTAAACCCAGTGTTATCTAGCAATTCCTTCCTTTGCATCCCAAGTAATGAAACTGGTTACAAACCCCTTGTGCAAGAGTCGTAATTTAATTGTGACTTTTGATACATTTTCGTGCAAATGTTTCTTTCTTCTGAGGAAAAAGACGGGCTTTCACTAAATCAAGTACAACTGTTGTTAAAGAAATAACATTTTATTCCCACGTTGATTGGATTTATTCTGATTTTCAGTATATTTATTTGAAACTGGATCAATAAGAAGGTATGGGTACAGTGACGATTTCTTTTACAGCGTCAAACCTGACGTCAATATGAATCAAAAGTACTTTTATTTCTGCTCCAAAGTTGAACATAAATTTTGATGTTAGAGCCATAATAAAAAATTACCAGAGCCTCGATCAGATCTAAAGTTGCTTGTCTCAGCAGCTCATAAAATTACACTTTAATAGCTGATCATCAGTAATCTCCTTTATAAAAGCAGAAGCTTTGAAAGTTTGCCAGTGCTGAGCGGCCAGGAGCTTGATTTTCTATTTGTAGAAAAAAAAAAAAAAAACTATTTACGTTTACAACATGTAACCTGTTGCAAACCAAAATGAGACTTATTCAAATTCACAGGCCAAAGAAATGCCCAACTGATTTATTTATCTTCATGACCCAGAGAATTTGTGGAGTAAAGTAGTACCTGAATAGAAAGTGTTGATTTTCAGAAGCTCCTTCTCACAGTTCTGGAAAAACCTCTCCTCAAACTTAGCGTAGTATCGCTTCACTGTGTCTTCATCTGTAACTGGAAAAAAAAAGCAAAAAACAAGCAGACAGAAGGTTATTGACTTTTTTACAAACAAGTATGTGTAAGAGACTATAACATTTCATAGTCCATCCATAGCTTTCACACAACACAGGTGGGAAAGCTTAGTTTATATTAAGCTGAGAGGCGCTGAAGGATGAAACCTTATTAAGACCTTTTGAAAAGGATGAGATGAGATGTGATGAGAAGTAGACATCTAATGTGATGGTGTTTTACACTATATGTCTGTACAAGAACCATTCAAGCCTTACATCACCAATTGCATATCCAAATGTCAGATGGAGTAGTGTAAAGCATCTTGCCAATAAACTGTACAGCAGTGGAGACATTCAAGTCAATACAAATTGACTAGAAATTTTGTACTATTTTATGCTCTAAAGTTTGTGGGGACTGTGTACTTACAACCCCTTCCTTTTCCAAGACATTTGTGCATAAAGTAAGGTCCACAAACTTGTGGATGGGTGAGTTTGGGGTAAAAAGGTCTCCACTGTCCTGCACAAAGTCCCAACTTCATCCAAACAAAACACTTTTTGGATGAATTAGAGGTGAAGCTGAGAGCCAGATATTCTTATCCAACATCAGTGTCTGACCTCACAAATGCACTTTTAGGATGACTGTCAGAAATAAGCACACTTATAAACTTATCAGAAAGAGGTAAAACTGAACATTTTACAGATTAAGAACGGGAACCCACTGGTGTTCAAATGTAAATGAAGGCAGATTAGCTAATACCTTTTAATATTAATACTTTGAAGTTCTCCAACTGCAATACAACTACTGTTGCTACATTTGGCCATGCCATCTGTACCACTATATTAATAGAACATTAAACATCCAAAATGGGATAGAGTTGAGCTAGTAACTCGTTTTGCTTTCGAGGCATTCATTAATGATTAGGTGACCTAAATAGCTAATCCTTCTGTAACTCTGAGAATTCCTTTAAGAGTTCAGGAAACCTCAGGCAAACAGACTTTCATTCAAGTCTGAATTAGATCTACAGCTTCTTCCTGCCTCTCCATGGCTGAATAAACCCTCCTATCTTTTTCAGGACATGCCAATTCAATCAGTATTGATGCGCTGTCTCAAACAATTCTCTGCCTCATTCACAGCAGGCTACCCAACACCTGACAGAGCTCAACATGCAGCCAAAGGAAAGTGACTGTAAAATAGCACATTCACACATATGATGTACAAATAAGTACCAACAATTGTTTTTTTAAGCAGCCTTCCAATCAGCAAATGTTTTATCATAAATAACATACTGAGTAATAATTATAAACCTACTCAGAGTTTTTGATACCAAATCATAATCAGTCCAGAGTTTTATTCAAAATTAAAATTTTTACTCAAAACACAAAAATACGCTATTTGATTTTAAGTGAGCAAATAGTAAAATATTTATTTATCAACAGAACATATCACACAAAGTAATCCTAAACTACACAAATATATTGAGATAATTTTTTTAAATAAATGTTAACATCTCAATTATCCAACAGTGAAGATTTAAATGCTGTTGTACGCACAGGTGCTAATTAAAAAGGAATTCTGTATTTTATTGATTTAAGTAGTCAAATAATCATTCTAAGGAAAAACAATACCGTACATTGTAAAGGTCAGTTCAGTGTGCAGTTTGAAACTACTCTCTAGTTCAGGACTACAAACCTGTAAGGAGCTTAAAAATGTTCTCGGAACAAAGACAAAAGTCTATAAAAAGCTGAGATAAATGTTAATTCTGATATGTCCAATACTAACTGATTAAAATCTTAATGCTCATTTTCACAATTTATTTTTCTAACTCTAAATATCAGTTTACAGATGTATTCTTCAGTATGACACAGCTACACAGGTGCATTTGGTGCTTTGCAGCCCCTGAGGATCTGCTCTCTGCCACCCTGCATGTCAGGCTGTTTCAGGTGGCTGGATGGATGACGGCATGGAGGGAGCCACATTTATACTTCTAAACGATTGGCCAGCAAACATTAGCTGTTTCAGCAAAGTGATCGAGCACCTAGCTGGCCAGTGCAGCCTGACACAATGACTGATGGGCTAATACACCACTTTGGTCAGACCTGCAGGCAACAAGCATACGGTGAGGTAATTCAAAGTAAAAAGGTTACACGGCTAATGAAAACCCTGAAACAACAGTGAAGCATGAGGCGTGGAATAAGAGGCAGAGAAAAGTGGAACATTAAAAATCTATACCAAACATTGCAATTAAAGTAACTGTGTTAGAGGAACTACAAAACAATTCACTCAACTGACTATTCCAGGTGAGTAATCAAGTTTAGCTCATTGCTGTTGAAAAATGCTGAAGTGAAGCTTTGGTTTGGGCCACCTTTTTACTCAATTGTTCCTTTAAAGTTCCCAGAAAACAGACTTTATTAAAGCTCTGCTTTATTTAGGTTTCATTTTTTTTTAAGTTGGAACGTTCAATAGTGTGCTTTAGTTTCATACAAAAATGCTCTGAATGGGTAAAAGTTTAATTTACGGCTTGTACACATGCCTTACTGAACCGTATGGGCTCTAACAAAATTCTTCGGTATGATTACATGTAGCATTGTTAGATTGCTGCCACACTTAGGAATACATCAGTACCATTACTGAGACACAGAATGTGCCCACATCTCTTTGTTTTAATAAAATTATATTTGTATGATATTTGTGAGTCCAATGAGAACAATGAAGGTGACAGTTTATCTACGATTCCACCCCTACTTCTTTGTTTTCAATTAAACCTCACTGACAAATTATTAGAGCATCCATATTGATGCACTTCTTCTAAACCTCACACTCCTTATGCTTACAAACAGAAAGATCTAAACCTCATTAGCGTAAACTCTGTACATTTTGGAGAAGGAGTCAGCATTTTGGTTTCCTTCCCAAAGGTAATTCGACATGTAGACTGCGGAGGGAGAGTCTCTGTCATGTCAAACAGCATGGTTTCTCATTATCTCTTATCTGGAGAAATGATGGCAGAGACAACATTCACAAGTTCAGCAATCTTCGCAAAATGATAAGGAACAATATCCAACAGAAACTTAAACAAGAAATATAGCATTTTATAGACTTCTGCATGATACGCTAGTAATTTTCAACACTATTCTGAGATGTAAATGACATTCTTGGCTGTCTGCAGAAGGATAGTTGCAGCCAAACTGACTTTCAGACAGCAGAGCAACAAAGAGGAACCCTGCAGCATTTCCTCCAGCCACTGTTTAAAGGTAATGGAAACTCTAGTCTTGCATGTGTGTGACAGAAAGATTTAATACAGCAGTCGGGAATAAACAGCCTGTTTCTATAGGAGTGTGTAATTCCAGCATTATAACTACTGATTTATAAAGAATATATTTAATCCAGATTAACAAAGACAAAAAATTAATATGTTGTAATTATATTTACCAACATTTAATGACTATAATATACAGACACACGACTACAGGGCCCATTTTGTCTCACTTCTAAACAGGCTGATAAATTATTCAGGTGATTTTTTATTGCTGAAAACCTTTATTGTTTAAAAGTAAAATCTGGGGATTTTGTTTTTCCATCGCTTGCAAAATTAACAGAAAGTTTAGAGAGTTTGAAAAACTAAATCAAAGATTAAAAAATACTAACATTTTTTGGGGAAAAAAGTCAACCTAATTCAACCCATAATTTTATACATATACAGCATGAGTAACGAAAATTATACTTGTTGTGCTCAAGGTCACAATGTTTAAACTGTGCATAATGTCTGATAGGAATGCAGACGAAATATAATAAAAACAGGACCCCATGTGACATCAAGAAGGCGAAACTGCATCATTGAAAACCAGATATTTGGAGAAGAAATGCATTACAAACATTGGAGTATGTTGTGCTTATTTGGGAGCTTCACTTTTTTTTCAGACAAAGAATTGTGCTGGTAGCTAGAAAAACAACTCTTGACCTACAGTATTCCCAGAGCGGCTTGTAGACGGCAGCCTCCCTCTCTCCGCTAACCCCTTCTTCTGTAGATTGTATAAATAAATGATGAGACAGCTTCCCCAGAACCCACTCCACTCACCCCCGAAACAGTTCACTCACACAGACACTCACACAGACACTCACACACACACACACACGCACACACACTCCCCACCCCCCAGCTTTTTATATTCCTATACAGGCGTATAGGACGCCTGTATAGACTTGATATTAAGAACTCAAAAGATAAAACAGAGCAACCTTCCTGTACTGCATTTAGCCTTCCTGTTATCTGCTGAAATATTTTTCTTTCTCTAATTCTCAGAAATGTCTCGACCGGCATGTAAAAAAATAAATAAATAAAACATTCCTTTAAAATAGCTTTGTCTGACTTCATCTTTTAAAGCTCACAGATACTGAAATAGTTCACTTTGAGTCTTCTCAACAACATTCATACAATATCTTGTCAGTAAGATCTGGTAGCAGGTAAGCATCATACTGTTCAGAAAAAGATCTTCAGTTTCTGTCTGACTGGTCAGGTCAGGTCAACCACCATATAAAACCACCGACCTTTAAACCTGCTGACCAGGAGAAGGATTTGGAGACAAACTGGACAAATCTGAACTTCAATATGGTAAACTTTTCATTTGTAAAGTTCCTGTAATGATATTTTTTTATTTTGCTTTTACCATTAATGAAAATGTATGCTTCATTAAAATCTCAAATGTAATCTTTCATTACACTAGAGGGTGAACACAGGATGTATTTCTTTACAGTCCGGTAAAACAGTTATACACATGAGAACACCCTACGCAAATTGTATGTCCCTGATTTTAAGGCCTATTAATCCCATTTAATGACACCTCTCAGATAACATTATTCTCAGGGGAAGCGAGCAGGCCATTACAGTATGATTGTTGCTCTAGAAGATGCTGTTATCTCCCCCCTGCAAGCCCACAGGTGTTAAATCACAGGGAAAGACAAACTGAGCTATAAAAGAGAATAGGATTGACTTCATTCGGGCCTGATAT